CTTGCCAATGCCGAAGTGTGCCAGGGGCTGGCGCTGCAGCGTCTGCTGAGGCTGGCGTGGATACAGGCTAAGAATAGCCTGTTCCCGAAACCCTGCTTTGGTGCCTGAGTTTCAGGGCCGGTCGTTCTGGTGAACGACTGAAAATACCCTTCGTTTCAGGCTAGAAAGGCTCTTGCCATTTTTAGTTTGAAACGACACAGGGACTGTAGGCCCCTGTTTTGAGCCTGAATTCTAGGCTTTTTGGCTGAAGGGCGCAGGGCCTGGAAAATGGCCTGCGTGTGCAGGCGCAGCATGTAACACCCCCCCCTCCTTATGAAGTCAAGCCGGGGCGAGGGCGAAGCCGGCGATCTGAAGGTGGAACCTGGACGCGGGCGCGGCGTGGAACCAAAGAAACCGGCTTGCCTTGCATTTGCGTTCATAGCGTGCGAGAACGTCTGGAGCTGTTGCTTGAAGTTCCGCACGGGTTAACCGACGGTCAGCTCGGTGTGTGCAGTATGCAAAGTGCACCAAATACTCAATTGGCTTGTTGCCGTAGCGTCGCTGGGAGATGATGTCGCCGACCTCCTGAAAACCGTCCATAGAAGGTGGGTCTCRTGTACGTCTCCCGGGAAAATCGTCATGTCCCGCTGGCGTGTAAAGAGCCAACTTGGAGCAATGAAAGACTGGGTAGACCGGCAAGTGGCCAGGCAGCTGAATTGTGAAGGAAGGTCCTTCGGGTGTGTCCCCAGCGGGCGCTACGATCGGCCAAGGCCCCATCCATTTTGGGAGGAGCTTGCGAGAGATGTCTTGTTCAAGGCTGAATTCCGCTGCGGAAACCCAAACAAGGTCGCCTGCGCGGAATGGGCAACGAAGACGCTGGCGATTGGCCTGTTGGCTCATGCGCTGCTGCGTCTTAGCCATCTGATCGCGTGCCTTGACAAGAAGCTCTTGCATCCGACGCAAGAAAAGAAGATGGTCGTCGCTCTCGGCCGTTCGTGGAGTAATAGTGTCCAACGGTGAAGTGACCGGAGAGCCGTGCTCAAACTCAAAGGGCGACATCCCGATAGCCGGGTGGATAGATGAGTTGTAGGCCAACTCGACATCTGGCAGCCGCTCAACCCAGTCCTTCTGGTCGGGGCGGATGAGAGTGCGAAGGAGAACCTGTGCGGTCTGATGCGCCCTCTCCATCTGGCCATCGGTCTGAGGGTGGCGAGATGAACTGGCTTGAGAGATGAGCCCCATCGCTTGATGAGTGCCAACCAAAAATCGGACATGAACCGAGTGTCGCGGTCGCAGACGATTTCCTTGGGGTAACCCTTGGTTCGAATCCAACCGACGTAGAGAACCTCGGCCAACTCCGGTGCCTTGGCATGATAGCGACAAGGCAAGAACATGGCGAACTTGGTGAGTCGGTCGACCACCGTGAGAATCCCATCCACTCCGGTCTTGTGCTTGCGGAAGGGGCCGGTAATGGCAATCGCTTCCCTTCGCCTCAACGGGATTGGTAGTGGTCGTAACTCGCCGTACGGACGATGATTGCGGGATTTGCAGCGTCGGCAAACCTCGCATGACTCGCAATAGCGTGTGACGTTGCCGAGAAGGACGGGCCACCAAAATCGCTCGCGGAGTCGGCCAATCGTGCGATTGACTCCAAAATGTCCGGTGGCGGGAGCGTCGTGGAACTCGCCAAGAAGCCGTGTACGCAAGTGAGGATCACTCGGTACGCAAAGGAGGTCCTTCCCCCGCGTGTGGACAAGCAAGTACTCCTCTTGGATCCGGTAGTGAGAAGGCGCCGGATTAGGAAAGGAGCAATTCGCGTACTTGTCGCCAAACTCGGGGTCGGCTTGGTAGCCGCGGATGAAGCTGTTCCGTAGGTCATTGTCGATCTCGAAGGTTGAGTAGACTGCGGTACAATGATCCGGACGCCGTGAAAGAGCATCCGCAAAACGGTTCGACTTCCCGGGAATGTGATCGGGAAAGAAGTCGAACTGGTCGATGAAAGCCATCCATCGAGAGATGGTGTTGTTGACGGTGTCTTGGGTCTTATAGAAGACCAACGGATTGTTGTCCGTTACCCATCGAAATTGGCTTCGACCAAGGAGGAAGTGCCGCCAGCGCTTGAGCTCGTGGACGAAGGCGAGGAGCTCCTTCTTGCGTGCATCGTCAATGGAATGCACGATAGGCACTTTCTTGCTGAAATACTCGACCGGGTGCCAGTCCACGCCATCATGTTGCTCGAGGACTGCACCAATGCCATAACCTGACGCATCCGTAGTGACGCGCGTAGGCGCGAGCGGGTCGTATATCCGCAAGACCTCCGCAGACAATAGCGCGGCTTTGAGAGCGAAGAATGATCCTCGCGCCTCCTCTCCGAAGTCAAACGGCCGATCCTCGCACTGAAGCTTGTTCAAGTGGGCCGCGATCTTGGAGTAGCCTTTGATGAAGCGCTGATAGTAGCCGGTAAGACCGAGGAACGAGCGGACATCCGTGACGTTCCGAGGCTCTGGCCACTCCTGGAAGGCCTGAATCTTGTCCGATAGCGGACTGATGCCCTCTGGTGTGACAAAATGGCCCAAGTATTCCAGCTCTTGCCGGACAAATTCACACTTGTCGCGGTTGGCCTTGTACTTGGCGCGGCGGAGCRTCTCCAACACTCGTCGAAGATGCCCCAGATGATCCTCCAATGACCGGCTATAGACGAGAATATCGTCTAAGTAGACCAGCACAAACCGGTCCAACATTGCACGAAACTCATTGGTCATGGCCGCCTGAAAGGTCGCCGGGGCGTTGGTGAGGCCAAAAGGCATGACCACCCACTCAAAATGCCCGTACCGCGTCTTGAATGCGGTCTTGTAGTGATCGTTCGGCTGGATCGAGATTTGATGATATCCCGATTTCAAATCCAACTTGGAAAAATACTTCGCGCCGCCCAGTCGCTCAAGAAGATCGTCGATGCGAGGAAGAGGCCCCGCATTCTTGACGGTTTGCGCGTTGAGCTTGCGGTAGTCGATACACAATGGTAGATCCTTGTTCTTCTTCCTGACGAAGAGAACTGGTGCTCCATATGGGGAGCTGCTAGGGCGGATCCAGCCCKTGGCCAGCAAATCATCGAGTTGTGCGCGGAGGACCTCAAGTTCCTCCTCGCTCATCCGATAGATGCAACCCTTCGGCGGCACGGCACCGGCCTCAAGAATGATCTCGTGAGAGATCGGCCGATCGAGCACCACACCGGTAGGTGACTCGAAGATGTCGGCGAACTCGTCCAGCAACCGCACCACACGGGGGGTCCGAAGACAAGTCCGTGGGTGAAAAGTCGGCTACCGCGACGGTCCGTAGGAAACATAGGCCGATCTCCTCGGGCTGCTCGTAAGCGCAAGTCGCCAGGAATGATTTGGCTGTCACCACTTGGCACCGGATCGAAGTGTGCGGTAGAGGAATAGTACATGCCACTTCCGCGCCGAAGGCGTTGCGAACGCTAAGAGTCCGCCGATGGAAGTTGACCGTGTGATCCACACTTGCAAGCCAAGGCATTCCCAGGATGATGTTGAAGTCCGTGTCGAGAATATCGAATGTCACCGGTTCGCATGCATGAGGTGCGAAGTAGACCGGCACGGCCTCGATGTAACGGTCGAGAAGTTGTTGCGTCTTTCCATCCGCCAACTTGATCGCCGTCGGGTTTGCCTTCCTCCGAACTTGTGCGCCAAGACCAACCCTTTGCATAAAGGCTTGGCTTATGAAATTGCGAGACGCGCCGCTATCCAGCAAAGCGTTGCAGGACGCTTGCCCAACCTGAATGCGGACATGCATGAGCGGTGCGTTGTTGTCATCGTACCGCTGCGTGCGAAACTCGCGGGCCACCTTGGTAGTATATGCCAGGATGTCCCCCACCGTGACTTCGTCATCCGTCGACGAAGTTGGTGGTGCATAGAAGGATAAGTAAGTGTGGAGATGAGCGCTAAGTGTTGCGCATTGCGGTCCCGGCAAGCGGCCTGTGGTCGAGAGAGGAAGCCATGCAAAGTCCTCGGACGTGAGCGGGTCCAATACCTGTATATTGAACTCGCGCGCCGAATCCCGTGAAGAACCACTTGAAGACGATATGTCGCCGTTGCCGGACGGAGAAGAAACCGCACACACTCCTTGTCCTTGAGCTTGAGTACCCAGCGTAGGAACGAGCCGGGCAGCATAGTCCTCAAAAAAAAGTACAAGAGGAGGACTATCGACTTCCGCGTGCGCCTCAGAATGAAGGCCGGTTACTCGCGAAGAAACCGGTTCCGAAGGCGTTGAGAGTGTCGTCGAGTCACTCTCGACGGTGCTCAGTTTCCCTTTCTGCCCTTGCCTTTCAATGGGCAACCCTACGTCTGATGAAGATCGTTGTTGCACCAAAGGCAATAGTGAAATCTCTCGCGCGCCTTGAAGGCTTGCTCGGAGATGCCATACTGGGTCCATGGGCCTGTCTGAGCTGCTGCACCGGGCCCGGGGCTAAATGCGGTGTGTGTCTTCGTCTTGCGACGTCCTCGGCCTTTGCCGGGGCGGCCACCTTCCCGGGCGGCTGCGAGTCTGTCCCCTTCACTGGCAGACACAGCCTCGCTGTTTTGGTCAAACGGCCCCACCGCTGCGACCACGGCCACTCTTGGCCGATGCTGGTCCCTGCTCGGGCCTGACGCAGATAAACGGAGGTTCTTGGCCTCCTTGTTCGTGATAATGATTTGCGCAGCCTTGTCGAACAACTCCGCCGTCGTCGTCAAGGTGTCCTCGACATGAGTCAGGGCATTGCTTAATGCCAGGCATGACCTTGAGATGATGTAGCGGAGGATGGCCATGAAGCCCATCTGGATGTCTGGGACTGATGTCAAGCGTTGGTACTCGGCGATCCAGTCCGTACTCGGCAGCGTGCCTTGCTCGAAGACCATGAGCTTGTCCATGGCTTTGATCTCCGGCGGCTCCACCTAGAACCCCTTGTGCCACGCCGCCTTCAGATCATCCCAACTGATCTTGGTGTGGAAGTCGTTGGCTACCACTCCGTACTTGGACAACAGGTTGTCCAACCAAGCCTGACACGCGCCCCCTGAGCGAGAGTACAAGTATGCGTGGTGCTTGAGTTCCTTGACGTTGTGGAGCTGCAGCGTGAGCTCGAACTTGTGAAACCATGGAATCGGATCTGTCTTCATTGAGTCGCAGAAGACCTTCTGCCCGTCGAACTTTGGAGTTGTCTCGCACGGTTCTGAACTCGAGGTGGTGGAGGTAGTGAAGATCCGTTGTTGCAACTGTTGCGTCGCGGTCTGCTGTAATTGCACGCCATCCTTGAGTGAGCCGACGTCCATCTCCAATGCATTGAGGCGGTCGGCAGTGTTGGAAGAGCTTGCGGCGGCTGCGGCGACTGGTCGCTGCTCCAACCGCTGAAGGCGGTCGTGGACGTGAGCGAGCGAGGTGTCGAGACCAAGGATCTCCGCCTGCTGTGTAATGGAGGTTGCCAGGAGATCCGTGAGATGCGAGAGGAGGAGCGTTATCTTGTTTGCGCTATCCTCCAACTGGCTATTCTCGGCCTCGGTCCGCCATTCCGCCGCCATGGTAAGTAACACCCGCTCTCCAGTAAATATCTTCTCACGACGCTGGACTCTTTCCTCATCGGCAGCCCTTGCTACTGCCTCGTCATGCTTGCGCTATTGTTCAAGTGCCAGCAGACGTGCCTGCTCGGCATCTTCTGCCTTCTTCTTCGCTGCTGCTACAGCGTCATCTGCCCGTTTGTTAGTCTCGGTACTCCAGGCCAGCATGCGGGCCTGATAGGCCTCGTCTGCTTCCCCGGGCCTCTGGTCATGACTGCTGTTTGAGATCGCAACAGCATAGACCGGGCGGGGGCCTGTTGATGTGGTATCCCTTGCTGCTGACGTGGCACTGCTGACGTGTCCTGCTGACGTGATCTGCTGACGTAGCCTGCTGACGTGGCCTGCTGACGTGGCCTGCTGACGTACTGACGTAGTCTGCTGATGTGGCCTGCTGACATGGTTTGCTGACGTCGCCTGCTGACGTGGCCTGCTGACGTGGCCTGCTGACGTGGCAACTCACCAATGCCGCCGCAGGGGGTACCCGGATACAAACAGAAACGGAAAGGCGAGAGATGGCAACAACATAGGTGGGGAGGGGTGGGTGGGATAATCGCCCGACCAATCACTTGGATAAGGAGCCACTAATCAAACAAGAAAAGTTTGAACTTTGCAAAAAATTTCGAGAAAAATAAACGGTAGGTCTCCCAACCTCCCTTCAAGTGCGAAATGATCACTGAAAGAAAAATTTCGACTTTATAGACTGCCAATGATTTATAGAACTGAACGACAGAATCCCAGAACTGCGAAAAAAATTCCGAACCGAAATGACAAATATTCTAATTTATTCCGATGAGAATATTCGCAGTTTGGAAAATAATACTGCAGGAGGTATTTCCCGTACCGTTTTCAGAAAACGAATTTCAGAAAAGAAAATATTCCGAATTTCTAAGTAACGGGAAATGCAACAGGAAATCGAAATTTTTGAAAAGAAAAATATTCCGGATTTTCAACAGCGAAATTTCGAATTTTCAGAAGAAAAACGAAAATGGGAATTTCAGAAGTTGCGATTTTGCGATTTCCCACAACAGAATAGCGAGAAAATAAAATCCAAGAAAAGAAAAAAAAATTGATATTCGGTAGTGAGGTCAAAATCGTGATTTTGGGGTCTAACTAGTATGTCCTAATCAACCAATAAAGACTAACTAGCTTTTTGGTCCCCGCACACGTGTCAGATCAGGCTGTCCTGATTCACGTGCAGATGCTCCGATACCAATTGTTACATGCACAGATATGCAATGTACGTAATAAACGAGGATCTGCAGTGTGATGAAAAGGACAGAATGGACAATGCGGTGCGAGTAGAATCTCGACAAACAATGTGCATTCTCATACATA